TTACCTTCTAAAGATTAGACCTTAAATTCAGAAAAATAAAATTCTGGGGCTTCCCTGGTGGTGTAGCAGTTAAGAATCTGCCTGCCAATGCAGGGGACATGGGTTCGAGCCCTGGTCCTGGAAGACCCCACATACCGCAGAGCAACTAAGCACACGCACCACAACTACTGAGCCTGTGCTCTACAGCCCCTGAGCCACAACTACTGAGTCCCGTGTGCCACAACTACTGAAGCCCGCGCACCTAGAGCCCGTGCTCCGCAACAAGAGAAGCCACTGCAATGAGAAGCCCACGCACTGCAACGAAGAGTAGCCGCCGCACACAGCAAAGAAGACCCAACACAGCCAAAACTAAATAATAAATAAATAATTAAATACATAAATTCTTTTTTAAAAAATAAATTAATTAAAATAAAATTCTGAAGGTGTCTTTTACCCTAAACGATTTTGGGGGTTCCCCAGGTCACTGGATCACTACAAGATTTTTTTCTTTTCCTTTAGAGAAAGAGAGATGGTAACAAACAAACAAACAAAAAAGGTTCATTTGGTGTGCACCATATTCTTAACTATCTCACCACTATTTTAAGAGCTATATGGGAAGAGCTGTTCAATCAAAAGGGAATTCAGCTATCCCTAGGTTAATATGTACTGGCAAAATGTTAATGGTAATATAAATGTTTCAGAGATTGTACACTCTACAGATTGGAAGGTGTTGGAGATTTGTCAGTGCCCTCATTGACCACAAAATGTTCTTCCTCTTTGGGAAACATACATCAAATCCTCATAAAATAGTTCTGTATTACGTTCAATAGATAACATTATTCTCCATTATGATATTGGTGGTTATTATAATAAATTAACTGTAGCCATTCAACCTTATCAATCTGTAAGTTTTCTGTTTCCTTCTGCTCTTGCCTGAATACCCTGTTTGTAGCTATGTGGTTTAAAAAAATGTCTTCAACAAAGAAGGGTAGTCTGAAAGCCTCAGGAAAGGCATGGTACCAAGTATTTTTAAATACTATTATTTCAAGGGACACACTCAGGAGTATGGGCTTCTGAGCAGATGTTGCTTAGATAACTGTCAGTTCCATCATTAAACTGAGTCAGGATTTCCAGGACTATTCTAGTCTAGACACAGAGAACTTCATGAGACTTGAATGCTGACCCAACATCCAGCAGAACAAGAATTAATTAAGTAGGACTGCATAAAGTGATGAGGGAAATGACCTGGAAGTTATTGGTTTGGAATATTATTGGTATGGTTTTAATGTTCTGTGCCCTTGGCTACACTGGGTTCCACTATTTTGTGCCCACAGAACTCACTGGGTACTGCTGCTCCTTATGGAATCTCTTGCATATTGGGCAGTGTCTTCTGGACCCATCAGTTCCAAGTCCCCTCACAGCACTTTCCATCAAGACCTCTCTCTGCTCCATCCTGATGATTTTCATGTGATGCTAGTGGGAAGCGTAAAGTGAAAGGGTGCTGCTTCCTGGGAGCTAAATTTTGTTTTTCCCATACCTTCCCTCTGACATCACCCTCTTTATTTTTAATTAACATTAACTGAGACACTTCTATATGCCAGGCAGTTTTCTTGGTACCAGGACAGTAATGAATGGGTCCTGTCCTCTCTTAATGGGAACCTTTAGCTTTGAGCTGTTTCTCCATGACTGACATGCTTCCCCTGGTATGCTAGATTGTTAGAAAAATAGCAATTTCCATCCCTCCCTATACCCATTCTCTCCACAATATAGCTTTGTAGTTCCTCCCATCAAAAGGTGGAGTCTATTTCCCAACTCTTTGAATCTGGGCTGCCTTGTGATCTACTTTGGCCAATAGGATGCAGCAGAAGTGATGCTTCAGTTCCAAACCTAAGGCTCCAGAGTCCCTGCAACTCTTCAGATTACTCTCTTGGAACCCTGCCCAAACACTATGCAAACAAGCCCAGGCTAGCCTAACATGGTCCATTACCCCAGCCCATTACCCCAGCCCATAGCCAGCCAAATGTTAGACACAGCAGAGAGGCTGTCCTAGACCAGCCAGCTCCCAGCCAACCCACCACAAATGCATGAACCAGTCCAGCTAAGATGAGCCACGCCTAGCCAGACCAAAAAACCACCCAGCTGATCTACAGACTTGTGAGGTATAATAAATGCTTGTTGTTTTAAGCCACTGAGCATTGGGGTGGTTTGTTACACAGCAATAGGTAGCCAATACACCTGGGATCTTATCTACTTTTCCCAACAACTCCGGGATCTTCAAAGAAATCAAAGAATTACCTTTCCTTATTACCCTAAGTTTACCTGACTTTTAAGTGACAGAAAAAGAATTGAACTCAAATCTGTATGAAAGGAAAATGCTCTTTTCACAATAACATAGGACTTTCCAAGACCTCACCTAGCTTCTCCATTCTGCCATTTTAAGGTTGTTAAAAATCAGGTGACATGAAATACATCAGATTTCACAAAAGAGTATATACTGTGTGATTTAATTCATAAGAAGTTCTAGAGTAGGCAAAACCAATTAGCTGTGAAAGAAAGCAGATCATTAGCTGCCTGGGGACAAATAAGTGGGTTAGACTGCAAAGGGGTATAAAGGAACTTGGGGGGGTGATGGAAAATGTTCTATCTTGATTGGAGTGGTAGTTACCTAGGTATTCATATTTGTCAAGAGTCATCTCTACTCTTTAAGTGGGTGCATTTTATTGGGTAAGAATTACACCTCAATAAAGCTGATTTTTAAGGTTAAAAAGAAACAGAAGTTGGTGAGGATGTAGAGAAAAAGAAACCCTTAGGCAATGTTGGTGGGAATGTAAATTGGTGCAGCCAGTATGGAAAGCAATATGGAAGTTCCTCAAAAAATTAAAAATAGAAGTACCATATGATCCAGCAATTCCACTTCTGGGTTTATATCCAAAGGAAATGAAAACAGGATATCAAAGAGATATCCGCAGTCCCATGTTCATTGGAGCATTATTCACAATAGTCAAGATATGGAAACAACCTAAGTGTCTATCAGTGGATGAATGAATAAAGAATAATATAATATTCTACCATATATCCATTATATATATGTATATATAAATGATGGAATATTACTCAGCCATGATAAAGAAGGAAATCCTGCCATTTGCAACAGTATGGTTGGGACTTGAGGGCATTTATACCAAGTAATATAAGCCAGACAGAAAGACAATACTGCATGGTATCACTTACATGTAGACTCTTTAAAAAAAAAAGTCACATTCACAGATAGAAAGTAGAAGGGTAGTTACCAGGGGCCGGGAGTTGGGGGGAACAGGAAAGGGTAGAAACTTTCAGCTATAAGATGAATAAGTTCTGAGAACCTAATGTAAAACACGGTGACCATGTGACCAACAAGGGATTAATTTCTGAAATTTACAAACAGCTCATGCAGGTCAATATCAAAAAAAAAACAAACAACCCAATCAAAAAAATAGGCAGAAGACCTAAACAGACATTTCTCTAAAGAAGACATACAGATGGCCAAGAGGCACATGAAAAGATATTCAACATCACTAATAATTAGAGAAATGCAAATCAAAACTACAGTGAAATACCACCTCACACCAGTCAGAATGGCCATCATCAGAAAGTCTATAAACAATAAGTGCTGGAGAGGGTGTGGAGAAAAGGGAACCCTCCTACACTGTTGGTGGGAATGTAAATTGGTACAGCCACTATGAAGAACAGTATGGAGGTTCCTTAAAAAACTAAAAATAGGGAATTCCCTGGTAGTCCAGTGGTTAGGACTCCACACTGTCACTGCCAAGGGCCCAGGTTCAATCCCTGGTCGGGGAACAAAGATCCCACAAGCTGCGTGGCATGGCAAAAAAAGAAAAGAGAGAGAGAGAAAGAAACTAAAAATAGAGCTACGATAAGGGCCAGCAATCCCACACCTGGGCATATATCTGGAGAAGAACATTGTTCAAAAGGATACATGCACCCCAATGTTCATTGCAGCGCTGTTTACAATAGCCAAGACATGGAAGCAACCTAAATGTCCATTGACAGATGAATGGATAAAGAAGATGTGGTACAAAAAAAAAAAAAAAAGATGTAGTACATATATACAATGGGTATTACTTAGCCATTAAAAAGAATGAAATAATGCCATTCACAGCAATATGGATGGGCCTAGAGATTATCATACTAAGTGAAGTAAGTCAGACAAAGACAAATATCATGATATTGCTTATGTACAGAATCTTTAAAAAATGATAGAAATGAACTTATTTACAAAACAGAAACAGACTCACAAACTTAGAGAACGAACTTATGGTACCAGGAGGGAAGGGTTGGGGGGAGGGATAGATTGGGAGTTTGGGATTGACGTGTACACACTACTGTATTTAAAATAGATAAATAATAAAATAAAATAGATAACCAACAAGGACCTACTGTATAGCACAGGGAACTCTGCTCAACACTCTGTAATAACTTAAATGGGAAAAGAATTTGAAAAATAATAGATACCTGTATATGTATAACTGAATCGCTTTGCTGTACACCTGAAACCAACACATTGTTAATCAACTATACTCCAATATAAGATAAAAATTGTTAAATAAAAAAATTTTAAAAACCACAGTGGCCATAGTTGATAACACTGTATTGTATAATTGAAATTTGCTAAGAGAGTTGAACTTAAGTGTTCTCACCTAAAAAAATAGATAAATATGTGAGGTCATGGATATGTTCATTAACTAGATGGGGGAATCCTTTCACAACGCATACATGTATCAAATCACGATGTACACTTTAAATATCTTACAATTTTGTACGTCAATTATACCTCAATAAAGCAGAACTTTTAAAAAAAATACCTTAGGAACTCTAGATAATCTTTTAAAAGTTAAGGGGGAAAAAGAAAACAACTCAAAACAATGGCAGTGCTCCAATCTCCCAGGGCTTATTCCTCTCCCACAAGGAGAAGGTCCCCCTACCCCAGCCCCGCCATTTCCTTGGCCAGGTGGTCCGCTCCCCTAGCTGCCCTTGCTCAGCCCAGCCTCGCAGATCCAGTGGTAGGGTCTCTGGCACGCGTCGTCATTCCACTTGCCATCGGGGTGGAAGTGGGCACAGTCCTCGCCCCCACCCAGCCCGTGCCCTTGCCAGTCGTCCGGCTGGCCTGGCTTCCAGTTCCTGAGGGGAGAGGACAACAGGCAGCTAGGGAGGCACAGAATCCAGGTCAGGGAGAAGGGGCTGAGGGTCAGACCCTGGAGGAACCAAGCTGAACGAGGAAGAAGGGCACAGAAACCCGGGGCACTCACTTGAAGTTGGTCTCATAGTCCGTCCCATCCGCCCATTTCCAGACTCCATCCAGATCACTGAGGCCCATCCAGGTGTAGGAGGCGCCTATATGGGCCTGGACAAAATCCTGGGACAACAGAAGGGCAGTGGTGACTTCTCCCCACCCTGCCAACTCCTTGGACTAGCAGTTCTGAACTTCACGTGTTCATTAAACCCGTCGAGGAGATCCGGGGTGTTTATCCCAACGCCCGGGGCCAATTAAACCTCTGAGGGTCTGGCTCAGATGACAGTGGTTGTTAAAAGCCCCCAGGTCGGGCTTCCCTGGTGGCGCACTGGTTGAGAGTCCGCCTGCCGATGCAGGGGACACAGATTAGTGTCCCAGTCCGGGAAGATCCCACATGCCACGGAGCAGCTGGGCCCGTGAGCCATGGCCACTGAGCCTGCGCGTCCAGAGCCTGTGCTCCGCAACGGGAGAGGCCACAACAGTGAGAGGCCCGTGTATCGCAAAAAAAAAGCTCCCCAGGTGATGCCAATATGTAGCCAAGGCTGAGGACCATTCTCTTCAATGGGACGTGTCTTGGACCTGCGCTCGAGGGGCCTCACCTGTTCCTCTCTGGAGTTGATGACCACCAGGTGGGCGTCCTCCAGCTGGCAGTACTTCTCAGCCTCGGGCCAGGGCTTCCCCGAGCGAGAGAACCAGTAGCAGCTGCCTTCATGCTCCAGCCAATTGGTAGGACAGCAGTTGTTTTGCGAGCCTAAGGGGCCAGGGCAGGGGAGGGTCTGAGTTGCTGTCCAGGGGGACGTGGGCAGACACTGGGGCCGGCCCATCCCATGCAGCCCTCACCATTGCCCTTGAGAGCAGCCATCTTGCAGGTCAGGGAGTTCAGGTTCTTGACCAGCTGCTGGACTCGCAAGAGCATTTTGGAATAACCTGGGACGCACACGGATGGGCAGTGGGGACAGTGCCCTGGGTGTGGCTTCTGCTCCTTGAGTCCCTGGAGACCAGAGGTCCACACCTGGGGCCCCAGCCTAGGAACCCCCTTGCCCTCCCACACGCCTCATGCCCAGGTGGAGGGGAGCAGGGGCCTGACCTGCTTTGAGTTCCTGCAGCTGGTTCTCCAGGCTGCTCTCCAGAGAAAGCACCCTGTCATTCAAGCTACGGGCTGGAAGGGAGGGCACTCAGCATCGCGTGACTGCTCCCATTTCTCCCCCGCCCTGAGTGCCTGGCACTCACCCCTCCACACACTCTCTCGAAGGGTCTCTCACCTGCTTGCAGTTCCTGCTTGTGACTTTCCACCTCAGCTTTCAGAGATGTTATCATTTCTTGCAAACTTCCACCTGGAGAACACAGGGACTCAGGGCTCAGGAGTCAGTTCCTCCCCCTCTCCCACCGCACCCCACCCCAGTCCAGAGCCCCTTCCATACAAGGCTCACCCTGGGATTTCAGTGCCTGGACCTCAGCGGTAGTGTTTGAAGTGAAGTTGCTGAAAGTTGTTCTCAGGGTTGCCAGGTCCCTCTGAAACTTGGAATCTGATCAGGCAGATGAGACAATCAGTGCTAAGGGTTATCAGGCCCTCTGTGCCAGCACTGGGCAGGGCACTTGACATGCATTGTGTCATTGGGTCCCTACAGCATGACCCCACCCAAAGGGATGGGCACTATTTTTATACAATATTGCAGGTGAGGAAACTAAGGCTTAGAGAGGTGACGTAATTTGACCTCATTCCCCAACTGATAAGTGACAGGGCCAGCAGTCATCCTCATTTATCACTCTCGCCACCACTGGCCCCACCACTGCACCCCATTATTTCTCTCTTCCCTGCCCACCCTGTGCCCCTCACTTTGGGATCCGATCACACAGATGCCGACCAGCAGGAGGAGGCTGAGGCCCAGGGAGAGCAGGAAGGAGCGGGTGCTGGAGAGGAGCCGCTGCAGGAAGGTCTCGAGGGCAGGCAGCCCTGCAAGAGGAGAGGGTGTCAGAACGAGGAGGGTCCAGGACGTGAGAGACGGGGAGGAGGATAGGGCCACGGGGACCTGCAGGGAGGAGGCTGCTGCAGCTGATGCTGGGGGGAGGCTGGACAAGGAGAGTTGTGGGCGGGGGGACGTCCAGGCCACTGATCCCTCATAGACCAGCACAAGTGCTCAGTCACATGGGCCCCTCATACCCCTGGGGACACATGTACACAAAGACACAGAGACAGGGGATGATGGCAATGTATAAGGTCCTATCATCAGAGCTGGGGCACCAGGCAGGAGGACCCAGGGAGAGAGACGGCGACTACCTTAGCAGGCTCACACTCATCAGTGAAAACAAGTTAGAAAATGGGTTTACTAATATGGGGCACATTGCACTTGCCCATAAGGAACACACACTGCTGACCTCTGGATTAATAAGCAGAAGTACAAGTAGGGCATATCTATAGGATAGAAGAGATTTACTGTTGGCCATTGAGGTAAAGGCTCTACGAAGAAGTTATTCCTCAAGACTCTGGAAATAAGAGCTTCCCTGGTGGCGCAGTGGTTAAGAATCCGGCTGCCAATGCATGGGACACGGGTTCAAGCCCTGCTCCGGGAATATCCCACATGCCGCAGAGCAACTAAGCCCGTGCACCACAACTACTGAGCCTGCGCTCTAGAGCCTGTGAGCCACAACTACTGAGCCCACATGCCACAACTACTGAAGCCCACGTGCCTAGAGCCCGTGTTCCGCAACAAGAGAAGCCACCGCAACAAGAAGCCTGCACACCACAATGAAGAGTAGCCCGTGTGCAGCAACGAAGACCCAATGCAGCCAAAAATAAATTAATTAATTGATTAATTAAAAAAAAAGACTTTGGAAATAAAAGAAGGAATAATAAAATTCTGGAAAATGTACACTAGGTGCTTTTAACATGCCCAGGCTGGGAGGCAACAATCATTATGGCTGCAATGGTTTTAAAAGACAATATTAGTAATTTCCTTCAGTGTAATTAATCTGGGTCTATGTTTTGTTATTCCTGGATTTGTCCATAATAATAATAGCTACAATAAATAGCCAGTAAATCTTTTAAGTGGCAAAATTTAAAAAAAGAGAGAGAGAGAGAAAGAAAATGGGTTTACTCTCATGCCCTTCCCCAGAGCACAGGAAGCCAGGACTGCTGTGGACCTTGAATCGTGTTTTTATTAGGGTCCCCAGAGGCTGGGGCCTCCCCTTCAGAGTGAGAGACCCCACCAGTACATATGGTAGAGGTGCAGACACGACACGACAGCAGAAATCCTTCTAAACATATTCAGAGGAGATTTTAGGAAAGACCGTTTCCCCATTCATCTTACCATCTGTAAACCCCTGGCTTTTCTTCTCACTCTCCAAGTACTGGAGGTCTTCATACTTCACTGACATGTTTGGACCAACACGGCCTCTGAAGCTGTCAGAGCTTAAGTAGAGGCAGGGCCAGCGGCCAGGCTGGGGAAGGAGCTGAGATAAAGATGGAGGCTGGGACCAGGTAGGACCCGCGGGCAAGGCTGGAGATAAGGGAAGAGATGAGGTTTGAGAAGAAGCCCAGGGTCAAGGCTAGCAACAGGGATGGGCTTGGCTTTGCAGCTGAGGTCAGAGGTGGGGTCAGGATTGGGCTTTGAGCTAGGGTCAGGTTGAGTTTGGGGTTGACAGTGCAGGTAAAGTTGGAGCTAAATGTATTGCTAGGACTGGGTCTAACCCTGGGAGCTGGAATCAAGGTTGCATCTCCTGCTAGGATTGGGGTCAGTACTCATGTTGAAGCCATGGACGGAGTTGGACCTAAGCTTGGTGCTGAAGTTGGAAATAGGAGAGAGTTGGGGTTCAAGCTTGGGTGGGGGCTGGTGTTAAGATTCAAGCTGACTTGGAACTTCCCTGGCGGTCCATTTGTTGGGACTCCCCGCTTCCACTGCACGGGGGCACAGGTTCGATTCCTAGTTGGGGAACTAGGATCCCGCGTGCCACACTGCACGGCCAAAAAACCCACAAAGGTTCAAGCTGACTCTGGGGGTGAAGATGCCATTGGGGTTAAAGGAGGAACTGGGGTTGGTATGGGGTTCGGCTGGAGTGGGGGCTGAAGACAGGGCTGGAACTGGGCTAGAGAAGGGGTTGAGTGTGAGTCTCAGTTTGTGACTGAGGTTGTGGCTGCCACAATTCAATCTGCAGCCAGTGAAGGGAAGAGAGTCTAAAATCTCTGCTTGGTCATTAAATCCCCAAGCTGCCCCCTTATATATCTTCCCATTCAGTCTCACCTAAGACCCACAGTCCCCTCTCCCTGCTTTCTCTGACATCCTCCCTGCCCTCAGTCTCACCTGCAACCCCAACCTGGTTACCTGTGAAAAGTCCAGAGGCTATGATTCTTGAGTTCTTTGTGCAGCGGTGACCAGAGCTGGAAAAAACTAAATCCTGCAGAGTTGGGATGGAGGTGACTGAAGGGGGAACCACCTAAGTGACTGGAGACCTGCTGGTCTTTGTGTCTGAAAGACCAGGAGTCTATAATCTGGGAATCTCCCGTTTCCGATTGGGGCAGTAAATAACAGGACGGAATTGAAATCAAAACGCAGGCAGATGTGATGTGCACAGGGCAGCTGGATACGGGGCCAGCTCTGCTTTCCTCTTGCAGGGAGTGTCTACTCCCTTTCCGCTTCTTTTGAGCTCTCATGACTTCCTCAATTTTACCATTTGGGAGAGAAGCATTGGACCAGAAGGAAACAGAGGTGCAGTCTGCCCCACACCTCCTTTCACTTCCTGCATCTGAAGACCTCAGAATCGTTGGTGTCTCCATCACTGCAAACCCGGGTCCAGAGGAGCCCATTGCTCTGCTCTCGCTCAATCCTGACCCAGGGTCCCTGGCATCTGAGCTTCCTCTGGGGCCTCAGCCATCATGCTCCCCTAGCTCTGGCCAGCTCTCTTCACTCTGCTTGGAAGGAGGGAAGCGGGTGGTGGAGAGTAGGATTTCCTGGCCGGAATGGGAGGGGAGAAGCCAGGGGAAGGAACAGAATTTATTGAGCACGCAAATCTGATGAGGATTGTGCCAGACACTTGCATTAACCATTCAATTTCCACAAGAACCTTGGAAGGAATTTTGGATGATGGACTTAGGCTTGGAGCCATTGTGTGACTTGCCCAAGATCTCACACCTGGCAAGCAAAAGAGCCAGATTTCCAGCCCAGTGCTGCCAGACACACTAGCCTGGGCTCTCTCCACATACCCTGTCCTCATGAAAGGGATTCAGTTTAATCCTGTCAACTCTGTAAATCCCTCTAAGGGGGCTGCTCTGAATTCACACACACAATCTTTTCACAGTAGGAAGGATTCTTAGTGTCTTAAAAGGGGAGGAAGGAAAGCAAATACATTTCAGTTTCTATTTTCTAATTAAACGGGATTGTGTTCTGCTACTTGCTTTTTAAAATTCATTTAACAATGTATCAGGAACATTTTACCATAGTTCATAAATGTCCTTTATTCATTTTTCATCTTCATCTCATTTCATAATCTGTGCCATAATTTATTGACTAAGCTTTTCCCTATTGATAAACATTTAGGTTGTTTCCAGTTCCGTTTTGTTTTCTTGCTTCGCTTGTATTTGGTATTTGGTATTTTAATTAGTATTCGTTACAGGTTCGGTTTTTGGAAGCCAATTTTGGGTGCAGCCTATTTATTAGGGATCAACATCTGTGAAAGGATGGGGAAAGAAGAGGAGGGGGCAGAGGAAGAAGTTAAACAGATGCAAAGACCCCACAAAGCTTTAGCCAACCCAACTGCACCGCCTGTCAGAGCTGCCCATCACTGGGCTGAACCAGGGCCTTTATTACCTGACGTTGCTCAGTCACCAGATGCTGCCACCGCAGCAGGGGTGAGACCTCAGGGGAGGTGGCTGTGTGCACAGGTTACACTCCCCACAACTGGGCAGCAAGTCCTTCCTGGGAGCGGGGTCTGGGTGTCTCATCTCTGTGTCGACCCCAGTACTGTATTAGTTTCACACCTTAATTGGGGATAATCAACATTTTTGCATTATTGAATTTTTCCCACAAAGAACATGGTATGTTTCTCCATTCACTCATCCAAGCATTCACCCATCCATTCAACAAGTATTTACTGGGTGTAGATAAAAGAAATTTTCACATAGTGAGGTATGGGGAAGTCATTCTGGCTTTTTCATGAGTTAACTTGAATTTTATGCTAACTAAAACAGCCTGTTTGTGGCCTATCAAATATACATTGTGGGCTTCCCTGGTGGCACAGTGGTTAAGAATCTGCCTGCCAATGCAGGGGACACGGGTTCAAGCCCTGGTCTGGGAAGATCCCACATGCTGCGGAGCAACTAAGCCTGTACACCACAACTACTGAGCCTGCGCTGTAGAGCCCAAGAGCCACAACTACTGAAGCCCACGTGCCTAGAGCCTGTGCTCCACAACAAGAGAAGCCCCCGCTCGCCACAACTAGAGAAAGCCTGCGCACAGCAACGAAGACCCAATGCAGCCAAAATTAAAGTAAAAATAAATAAATAAATGGCCCTTAAACACACACACACACACATTGTACATCTGCTTTAATTAGTAAAGTATACACTGACCAGAAGTAAAGAATGTCCATATTAAAAATAAAGATTAAATGCCCCTCTTCTTGGGATGCCAATGCTGGTCCTCCTTTGATGATAAGACTCCCTTCCCAGGTGCCAAGGCCATACTGACTTGCTGTGTACCTTCTGGTCTGGCTTTTTTGAAACCTTGAAGAAACGTACCCTTCAGAAGTAAACAAACAGGTAAAAAATGCCCTGGTCACAGAGCTTATATTCTAGTGGGTGACAGAAAAACAGAATAAATGAATAAAATATAGGGACATCCCTGGTGGCACCGCGGTTAAGAATCCCGACTGTCAGTGCAGGGGACATGGATTCGATCCCTGGTCTGGGAAGATCCCACATGCCACAGAGCAACTAAGCCCGTGCACCAAAACTACTGAGCCTGTGCTCTAGAGCCTGCGAGCCACAAATACTGAGCCTGCGTGCCACAACTACTGAGACTGCGTGCCACAACTACTGAAGCCCACAAGCCTAGAGCCCGCACTCCGCAACAAGAGAAGCCACCACAATGAGAAGCCCTCACACCACAATGAAGAGTAGCCCCCACTCACTGCAACTAGAGAAAGCCTGCACACAGCAACGAAGACCCAAAGCAGCCAAAAATAAATAATTAATTAATTAAAAATGAATAATAATAAAAATATATTGAGTAAAGTATCTATAATGTCACACTGTGATAAGTGCTGTGGAAGAAAATATATCAAGGAAGTGGGTAAAATACGGTCAATTTTTAACAGGCTGTCAAGACTAGGATGTCAAAAACAGCCTAGACTGGGAAGATGATTATCTGAGCAAAAGTCTGAAAGAGGTGAGGGAGAAGTAGATGAATCATAGCGGGAAAACCTGGAGCTCCAATTCTTCAGGGCCTGGAGGCTATTGTCACGGATTTGTTTTTATTCTTAAGAGAGGCAGGCTTTGGAGGAGGGGTCAAAGCAGAGGAGTGAGTGAACTGATTTACATTTAAACTGTAACAATGTGACTACTGTGTTGTGAATTTCATGAACCGGGACCAGAGTGGCAACCCAGAGTGGGGGGGAGGGACAAATTAGGAGGTTGGTATGAACAAACACACACTACTATATATAAAATGGATAACCAACAAGGACCTGTTGTATGGCACAGGGAACTCAACATTCTCTAATAACCCATATGGATAGAGAATCTGAAAGAGAATGAATATATATATATGTATAACTGAATCACTTTGCTGTACACCTGAAACTAACACAACATTGTAAATCAACTATACTCCAAGAAAATTTTTTAAAATAATAATAAGAGCCATTGTAATAGCTGGGTGAGAGATGATGGTGGTTTGTGCTTGGTGGTGGTGAGAAATGTTTTGATTCTGAAATACTGTGAAGGTAGAATTGACAGGATTTTTGCTGATAAATTGCATGTGGATTTTACATACACACACAAAACAGTTCTCCTTCTAGTCCCAAAAATAAATGAAACTTTGAGCATTTCCCATAAATTGCTGACTCCCTAGGAAAAACAACTTTCTCCCTGCCTTTGTAATGCTGATGCCTTAAGATCTCTCATGACCTTTTATGCACAGGCTAATCATGTGAGAGAAGTTCTGTTTTGCCATCAGGAGCAGACTGATGAAAACTTGTTAAAACTGGTTATTGTGCAGTATTTTCCTTTGAATACCTGGTGTGGTTTTCTTTGGTAAGCCTGTCCTCCCAAAGTCTGATTCCCTTACAACTTTTTTTTTAGTTTCAGCTAAGCAGTTTAATTTATAATCCCTGGCACTCATTCCTTGTGAATATATTTATTATCCATATTGTTATTCAATCTT